GAGAAAAACTAAAGAGTAAATTAATGCGTGTATATGTGTGTGTGTGTGTGTGTGTGCGATTTTCCAGTTCATTCTCTCCCAGAGAAGGCGCGTAAAACTTGGCTGCAATTAAGACCACAGTTTGATATTTCATTTCAAATATTAAAAGAAAAAAAAGGAAAAGTCCTAGAGGGGATTTTACGTTTTACGTGAACTAAGCGTCTGTCTGACAACTCAAAGAATTTATGCGATGCTTTCAGGCTTGTTTCAAATTGAAACATATTTGCTATTATAGAAGATTGAATAGCGCATTAATATAACTTTTCATTAAAAGTGGAAGCAAAGCGAAAGGCATGGTCCTATTTTGTGTGCGCGCAGGCATATGAACGTCGATAGAGGAGGGTTGTAATTAGTTCCGTCGACTGGGTCCCCATTCTAGTATTATCACCTAACCGTTGCAAAGATGTCTGTAACACGTCAAGCAGGAGCATTTTCCACTTGTCTGAGTGATTAATGATGCGACAATCTTTGTACTGTTGGGGATCACCGCACACGATTCATCTTCTATTGAGAGTATCATCACCAAAACCTTACATGCCACATCTTTCTTCTCTCTGCTGTTCGCCGATAGATTCTCTGACTGATGCCAAATCGGTCGAGTTTCGATCCCGAATCAGACGTCTACCCACACGGAAAAGCTGTGATACAGGAAAAGTCTGTCTGTGGATGACTATATATATATATATATATATATATATATATATATATATATATATATATATATATATATATATATATATATATATATATATATATTAAAAACAGTGATGTCTATACAAACACGTTCATTTACTAAATATAAATATTACGCTTAAAATACTAAGAAATAATATCGGTTTATAAATAAAATCCATTGTAAATTACTTTTTATTTTGGTAAGATCTAACAGTTATTAGAAAGTTTTCACGGGTGGGTCATTTAAATTTTTTATACAATTCTTCCCCCCAATCCAATGTAGACGGTTTTGCCAATTATTGTTGCTGCTTGATCTTTCGCCCAGGCAGTACTTTCACCTTCCGGTTTTGTAACATATATATATATATATATATAAAAGACAATAGGAAAACTGTAATAGTTACCGACGCGTTTCGTCCGATGTGGACTTTTTCAAGACGGAACGAAATGAATTTATTAAATAAACTAACTAATAATAACAAAACAAAATGTCCTTAGCAAAACTGGAAGAATTTAGAGAACGCTATTTTCATACTGTTAACTGAAAATTACGTCAGTTAACAGTATGAAAAACACACACACAAATATAAATATATATATATATATATATATATATATATATATATATATATCGACTTTCCCGTTGAATTCGACTTATGAGGGTCAAGCAGACCAGTTCCTAGGAAACTGACAGCCTGACACCAGCACATGAGATTTGATTATAGTAGTGAAGTTTTTGTGCAGAATCATCCACATTTTGAAGGGCCGAATACAGAGTCTTGGTGCCACTACGTGCCACAGGGTCCACAAACGACCCTTCGCAGGTTTTGAATTCAGAGTTTTTTTTTAATTTGTAGATCTGATGAATTGGATCGTGATTATGATTCCAATGTAATAAATTATAACCATGGAATATTAGTGTTTAACCCTTATATATATATATATATATATATATATATATATATATATATATATATATATATATATATATGAAACATTCGAATGCATTCGTACTTATTAAATGTTATTTTTTACAAAATTTGTAGTGAAAAGGTCTCAATAAAAAGTAGAATTTATATAAATATAATAATAGTATAACTACTCGTGTTTCTCCTTATGAATAGGGATCATCAGGAAGGGTTATATTTAGATTGTTAACACCTGACGCCTCCTGCCTTCACAATTTAATATATTAACGACATACATATTTTTTTAACCCGGATGTAAACATCATCCGGGTGCCATATTTGTGAATAGGTATTTCTTGGCTTACCTGCACCCCGATAGTATTTCTGATTTTTTAAAAATTCAAGAACAATTTGAGATTTAAGAACAGCAAGAGGGTCAATTTTTCCTCTCGGTTTATTTACAAACTTAATGTTTCCTGTTACCATTATATCTAAATGTTACATCACTATAAAATTGGTAATAGATATTGCTTGCTCGTATTGCAAAGGCAAGGGTGATAACTCTAGCACAGAAAAAAGACAAAATATATACAAATAAATTTGGTGAATTATATAGGCTTTTATTTTGTGGTTATCGTAAATTTTACAGTATTTGAATTGTTTTTTTTAATGTGTTTCCATTTGTGAGAGACTTGAAAGAATGTCCGCATGATAATTATACAATTATATATTATGCATTTTAGATATTCCCATTTGGAATAAAGAACCCGAAAAAAATATAGCAATAAGAACAGCCATGTTGAAATAAGAAGAAAATAGGAAAAAAAGAGGGAGTAACAAAAAATACGTTTCCGCAATGTGGTAATATCAAAATACAAAATACAATAAAAAAGCAACTAAACCGATTTGTCGATCCTTTATCGTCAAAGCTCAAAAATCTAAAAAGAAATTGACGTTCATGTTATTACGTTTTCAACGCCAGGAGAAAAAAATTAGCAAAGGATGTTAAAATCCGATGATCGATTCCATTCAAATATCTTTTTTTTTACTACAAATGCCAATATAAATGAATGATGCAATTATAGTAATGGAAATGCAATATCTTTAGCAATAGAACCAGGATAAAATCAAAGACGACAGCTCAAAACAGAAAAACAACATAAAACTCAGCAAAAAAAAAAAAACAAAAAAAAACAAGAAGTCACAAGAGTAAAAATGTAAAAAAAGACTTCGTGCTCAAATCTAATAAACTTAGTAGGAATCAAACTTAAGAATTTTGATTCCAAAAAAGTCAATTACGTAGTTTACTTGAAATTTCCCCAGTTTAAGTCCGGCGTAAAACGACAGTTTAAGTATATATAAGTCCGGCGTAAAACGACAGTTTAAGTATATATAAGTCCGGCGTAAAACGACAGTTTAAGTATATATAAGTCCGGCGTAAAACGACAGTTTAAGTATATATAAGTCCGGCGTAGAACGAAGTTTAATATATATAAGTCCGGCGTAAAACGATATATAAGTTAAAACGACAGTTTAAGTATATATAAGTCCGGCGTAGAACGACAGTTTAAGTATATATAAGTCCGACGTAAAATATTTAATATCCGACGACGTAAAACGACAGTTTAAGTATATATAAGTCCGGCGTAGAACGACAGTTTAAGTATATATAAGTCCGGCGTAAAACGTAAAACGACAGTATATATAAGTCCGGCGTAGAACGACAGTATATATAAGTCCGGCGTAAAACGAACGACAGTTTAAGTATATATAAGTCCGGCGTAGAACGACAGTTTAAGTATATTTAAAACGACAGTTTATATATATAAGTCCGACGTAAAAACGTTTAGTTTAAGTCCGGCGTAGAACGAAGTTTATATAATTCCGGCGTAAAACGACAGTTTAAGTATATATAAGTCCGGCGTAGAACGAATAAAAGTCCGGCGTAGAACGAATTTAAGCAAATAAGAATAAAACAACAATTTAGCAAATAGAGAGATTATTATTGGTTGGTGTGTAGGACGATATAAATAATCTAGTTTTTCTAGACAAGAAAGCAAGAGACATACACTTATATGCATCTTCTTTCACCTTTTTTAATCAATTTGCCCCAAGAAAGGCGATAATGCCACTAAGATGCAAGGGGCTACAATGGGTAAAAAAAAAGAAAAGATTTTAGAAGGAACTGGAAACAGAGATCAAAGCATAAACCACTACTCCTGTTCAAAAGGCCAGGGAAAATATGAACAGAAACATATTGCCTCGAATTGAGGACAGAGAAAAACAATGAGTGAATAAAATTTCAGAGTTTAAACGGAGACATTAGAAATAAAAGCAGTTGAAGTAAACTTTAGAAGGAACCAAAAACCAAATCCTAAACAGGAAACAAGGAATAAACCCCCACTCATGTTCAAAAGACTGGGAAGAGGTGTCAACCGGGCGATAGGCGAACCTATAAACTCCTATTACGCACTAAAAGGAGAATGTTTCATATCGAGAATATTTAACATCGAAAAATATAACAAAAAATTAATCATTTTTAATAACGTGTGCAAATCTCCACGCTTTGCCTGATGAAGGTCGCGAGACCGGAAACACCTGTTAGCAAAATTATGGAAAATAAAGCAGAATTCTTTTTAAAAAAAATCCACATTACAACCAAAAACGTTTGCGGTTTATCTTTATAAAAATATAATATATATATATATATATATATATATATATATATATATAGTCTTAAGATGTTGTATATTTATGGGATAAAGTGATCAATATCAGAGATAGAGCTTGTGTAAATATAAAAGTGAACATAGAAGTCAACATTTAGAGGCGACAGTCTGTTTCATGCTAGACGCAATCGCCAGGCTACCTGACGAAAGCATCTAGCATGAAACAGACTGTCACCTCTAATTGTTGACTTCTATATATATATATATATATATGTGTGTGTGTGTGTGTGTGTGTGTGTGTGTGTGTGTGTGTGTGTGTGTGTGTGTGTGTGTGATGTTAGAGAACAATCAGAGGCTAACAGGCCGAACCAGATGTATCGGTTCCTCACAGTCAATCTCCGGAAGTCTTATGATACCGGCGACATTGTTTATAGTTATTCTTAGCATTCAGCAATAACAGATTGATTCAGTGACACGAACCTCGAGTAGTGCGATAGTAAGACACTGATGGGGTCATAATACATGAATCATATCACGATAATATGGCCATTGTTTATAGTGTAGAGGGTTTCTACCTGGTTTCCTCATCTAAGTAATGACCAGACTCGACTCTGCTTAACCTCAATGACCAAACGGGGAACTTCAGCGTGATTTTCATTTCACACACACACACACACACACACACACACACACACACACACACACACACACATAGATAGATAGATAGATAGATAGATAGATAGATAGATCTCTTTGCGAACGTAGCGGAACGAGTTGTATTAGTTCTCAAAGTGACCGCTTGACAGCTGGCCTTTCAATTGTAAACAGTGACGGGTGTACAGTATATAAAGTACGATACATTAGCGCGTGCGTGAGAAGGTAGCTGTGATAAATCTATTAATTTTGCTATTTTGATTAATATATCTATTTAGTATAATATTTACTTATGTCATATATACATGTTTATAGTAATTTACATTGTGATCATAACCACTGGTAGTTACTATAGTGGTTTTATAACTCTAAAATAATTCCTCCGCATTTACGGACAATTGGCTTTAACGGACCACACATCTTCCCTATTAGTCCGTTGATGTTTATCTGTACATTTATATATATATATATATATATATATATATATATATATATATATATATATATATGTGTGTGTGTGTGTGTGTGTGTGTGTGTGTATATATATATATATAAGAAATATATAATTGTAATTTATGCTATGTTTATGGCTTAAAGTACTCAATATCAGAGATAGAGCCTATGTAGATATAAAAGTATAAAAGTGGACACTGAATTCAACACCAAGTTGTCATAGTCTGTTGCATGGTTGAACGTTATCTTTAGGTCATGTGTGTTGTGCTTAGGCCAACTATGTATATAGAATGGTCAATGGTGCATTATGGTTAGCAAAGTCAACATGTTCGTATTGGAGCATCCAGCGCGAATGCCAAGCAGTACAGCGTGCTGTTTCCAAATTTCTGGCGGAGTGAATTGTGTCATGGTGCTCTTTTTCTTACAGACGATATTAGAAATATAAAATAGCCATAATTTACTCATCGCACCCTGTAGATAGATAGATAGATAGATAGATAGATAGATAGATAGATAGATAGAAAGAATTTAACTGTAAGAAAACTTTAACACATACAGAGATCAAATTAACACCGTTAGAGTAAGTTTTAAACTACAAGACGCGATGAATTTTCCTGCATGGCCACCACCGTTGTCTATGCACTTTCGAGGTGCTTTTAATTTTGCTGCGTGACAGTATCGCAGGATCGCTCTTTAATGTGGCCCGTCACACATCGCTGTTGCCGCTGCTGAAACGCATTACCCATCACCTAACTGTGCTCATATTCAATGTTTGGTCTCCGTAAACGTTTGATGAATGTCAATTTGTTCATTTTCCGGAACTGATCTGTACGAACATTCATATCAGACGCCCTTTTTTCCGGTTACTATTTGTAACAAGGAAAAATAAATGATAGGTTGACAGACACAAGTGTCACACTCTGTATATACGTTTATATAAAAAAGAATAATACCTGCTCCTGCATTATTATTCAGTCATCCAAAATAACCGATATTTTCTTATAGCGAAGAAAACGGCGATTTACCTCGTCAAACCAAGCGACAACGTGTCGCGTGTGTCCTACGACGGAAAATGTAACGAAAAAATTACTTAGCAAAAAAAAAAAGGCACGTATTCCGCATGACATGCTGAAGACGAAATATATAAATTAGAAACAAGTCCGTCGCAGGAGACGCTGTAAAAGTATTTTCATATACAAGAATTGAGCGTCCTACCCCAGTTGTCGACGAATGGAAAAAATGCTCGGCCGATAAAAGCAGTAGGTGTTCTCGAGTTGAGGGAGCGAAAATTGGTGTATTTTGGCTACCGCGTTGGTCAGAGAGTGAGTTATTTTTCTGACTGGTTACGTGCATTGTGGTTTCTGAGATAGTATCTGCGAATCGAGTTTTCGGCATTTCTTTCTGCCCCCGATATTCGAGTCTGAACTTAGAGTGATTGTTCTCTGCATTGTGGAATTAATCTGCGACAAACATTTCCTTTGCTTTCAGAACGCTTACATTTCTCTTGTAGAAGTCTAGTATTGCTTTCCTATTTGTTCGTCTCGTCATTATTTATATATACATATATTTTTAATTCAGGTTTGGTTTCAAAACAGACGCGCCAAATGGCGAAAGAGAGAACGCTATGGTCAGTTGCAGACCATGCGAGCAATGGCTACCAGTCATGGCTACGATATGTCTCTTCAAGGCCGACATGACACGTACCAACAGGTGAGTACATAATTTTCAATATTTCAAAAACTGAAGCAAGGTTTATTCGAATCTCGCTTTTGGTGCAGGTAAAGAAACTGAAACAGACTTATTTCGCAACAAATTGGATTCTTAATTAAATCTAATATTTTTTTATATTTAACAAATGTATGACATGTCCTCAAAGACACATGGCACAGTGGATAAAAGCGTTAGTTAGATCCAGTGACAGGACCCAAAGAGTGTGAGTTCAATACCCGGTTAAGGCAGTGGAGAACTTTCAGAGGGAAATTAACAAGTGATAACTGACATCCATTAAACGTGGCACGTGGAACTAGAACAGTCTACCCCAGTGAGCGAAATAAAGGGTTCAGTTCGACATTCCAAACACCTGAAGAGGGTCGGAGTGTAAATATGGTGGGGAAGATGAGGACATTAGTCCGAATAATGTAAATAGTGTACATAATACCTCATCTCAAAAATATAGACAGATACAGTATGACATTTATATTTAATTTAATATGTCCTTTAAAATCTACTTGCTAAGGTCAGAAAATTCGCACGAGTATACACTCGAATGACTGTACTTAATCCTTCAGTGAGCGCTAGGTGTTGATTAATGGATAACGAGTCTCGTCTGATTGAATATGAAGACAGTGTAGTGAGTTCGAGTCTCAACGACTACTTGTATTAAATTTGATATTAAATAGCCCAACAACAGTTGAAATGTTGTAAAATCAGCCATCCGACCCACTTGATCTTCCAGAGAACTCAGAAACAAGCTGCAATCATATAAACTGGGCTTTTTTGAGATTTTTCAGAATAATTTACAGTGCAGCACAAAGCTATGTCAGTCTATCAGCTGTTATCTTTCAGAATTGATTTTTTCTTCTGAGATTTTCTCTTGTGTTGGATAATCGAGCAATTTCATATTTCTTAACCAGTATTAAATGCCGAAAATGTTACGACCATTGCTTCTGGCGATTTTCTAAGCGTAGCTTAGATGTGGCAGAAAATCGAAAGTATGGGGCACCCAGTGAGGATCGAACTCACTACTCACTCGTAATTATTCTAGCGAAACAAGCTTGCTAACCATTATACCACGTTGGGGTGTCCTATAGCTTCTGGCTTATGATAGGGTCTTATATAGTTATATATGCATACAGATTTTGTCATTGTATTTACTTGTTCTTTTCTACCTATAATAATAATGACTGTCTGGTCGTTTTGGATTACATTCGCCTGCCAGGGTTGGGGAGGTAAACTGATTCCTGTTGAAAATGTCCAACTCAGGCACATTTGTATTTCTTCAACAGTTTGATACATATTACAACAACATCGAGGTGGTGTAATGATTAACAAGCTTATCTTGCTCGGGCCATTACAACTGAGTAGTGAGTTCGATTCTCACTGGGTGCCCCATACTTTCGGCCTTGTGGCATATCTGAGCTACGCTTGGAAAATCGCTATTGCAACTATGCTGAATGGACCTTAGTTACAGTTTTTAGGAGCGAGCGCATATATATATATATATATATATATATATATATAGGAATCCGCTCCATGCAAGGCAGTAAAGCAATTAAGACACAAGGGGATTACTGGGTAATTAGTAATGAAAAATTAGAAACAGAAATATCACTAATGAGTGAGAACAAAAGAGTACTCAGAAGGACAGTAGATAGCACTTGACATTGCATTAACATTTTTGAAGATTAAAGTTGTCTGGATAGGATGGAACCGGAAAGGAGTCCCACAAGTGAGAAGTGAGAGAAAAGAAACTATTAGCATAGAACTTACGGTTACATCTAGCCAACTCAACTGTATATTGATGAGATTTTGACGCCAGTATAGTACTGAGATTAAATTCAAAAAGTTTAGGTAGCACAGAGAAGTGTTCATTCAAACAATTACCATGAAAATATTTATCGAAAAGGCAAACGGCGGTGAGAAAGTAATTAAAGCAGAGGTGCCTGATCAGGATCAGTATTATTGCTGATGCTTCTTTGAATTTTATCAAGGAGCTCTAAATAAATAGCCGGATCGCCGGACTATATGTGGCAGCAATATTTTAAGAATGGACAACTGGTAGACTTATATATATTTAAGATTGATTCTAGAGATAAAAATTGTCTTGCATGACACAGAAAACCAACTTTCTTAGCAACTGACCTAGAAATATATTCAATACAGTCTTTCGACTTCAAGTCATCCGGGAACGTTAGCCTAAAAAGGCACAATGAATCACTTTTCTGGAGGTTAGCATTAGTCATGGCGATGAAAGGTAGAGAAGTGTCTCTCCGATGATTAATGGAGAGCGGTTTAGTTTGGGAGACGTTAAAATTAACAAGCCATGTTTTGCTCCAGATAACAACAGACCGAAGGTCGTTTTGGGAATATATATCGCGTGTTCACGTTTTGAATTGACTCACTAAGTCGGACAAGATCTGGGTGAATATAGTGGTCGCCGGCCCTAGGGAATGTTGTCTTGGCCAAAAATTGTTGCACAAGCCATGGCCACTGATGGAATCTCGAAGTTTAAAGAAGGATAGTTTTCGCAAAGACCTACAGAGTTCCATTCGTTGGAAGCCAGTTTTAGTCATTGATCTGAGAATACAGGTGTATACAGTTGACAGTTTAGACATTTCTGAACAGGTTGAGCGCCACGCATGTCATCCATATAAAATTGTCGATCTTGATGCTATTTAAGTACATGACTCGAGTTCCTTTCTTAATATTTTAATTTTGTAGCATTTTACGATTGTTGCGAAATAATTCTGTTCTAGTATTTAATAGTGGTTCTTAATTGTGGAGTCCTTGAAATTATTAAAATATCACGACAATGGTTGAATGTCACTAAATATTACTTTAATTATTAGAATAATTACCATTTTTAAGTGCTTCAAAAGAAAAAATAAACGTACGAAAATATTTCATTTGCAGACACTAGTAATGGTTAAGAATCACTATTGTTATCATCTTTCTATATTTCTAAGATGAGGTATTGTAACTATTTACACAATTTACATTGTTCGCACTATTTCGACGGGTGTACACTATGGTCTTTTTCAGGTGATATACGTCGAAATTTACAAATTCCAACGTATATCAGCTGAAGAAGGCTGGAGCATACAACGGCCGAAACGTCGTGAATATGGCAATAAAGATGGGAGCAACAGTCCGAACACTTTAAATAGTATAAACACTATTTTTATTGCTACTTATAGGGAAATCCGTCATAATATATTATCAAGACTACAGAAAGTTTTTAATTTGGTTTCTAATATTGAAACTATTGAAACATTGCTGAATGTTGTTTATCTGATGAAACATATAATCATAAAATGTATGTCTGCAATATCTCGATAATTAAATTCTTAAATACTGGAATCCACCAGAGCTATACAAGCATCCAGAATATTGTCTACAAATTTATATATATATCAATTTATTGCTTATATGTTATTTTTAATGGATACCAATATCTGAGTAGGTGCTCTGTTTTCATTTATTAATTAAATAGGACATTTATTTATTTACATTAACCAGCCTGAATATTCGAAAAATCTTGTTACAAAAATGTGCCCTGTAATTATACTGTTTAATAAATAAATAACAGGCCACCTACTCAAAAATGGGTATTCATTAAAAATAACTTTTATGTAATAATTTAAAATATTTCGGATTAATAAATGAAAATCTATTCTTACTCTCTCTCTCTCTCTCTCTCTCTCTCTATATATATATATATATATATATATATATATATATATATATATATATATATATATGTGTGTGTGTGTGTTTAATTTTTAATCCCACATTGTTTGTTATTGCTATAGTGGGTACATGTG